TACAAGCCATTAATTTGGAAGCTGCACTTCAAAAATGGTTAGACCATTGATGAGGTTCTACATCATAATATAGATTTTCAAGAAGTCAGCTCTTTCACTTATTTTCCTCACCCAATCGAACTATTTGATAAATCTCAAAGATAATTGTTGTTAATTACTTATTCTAAGGTAAATGTAACTCCAATTAACCATTGACGAAGATTATCTTGAAACGCTAAGGTAACAACAAAGCACAAAGTCCTAATGAGTTTCCTCTCCCTTCAAGTCCTCTTCTGCATCTTCAAATCCACACTACTATCATCAAATTTGTGTTTTCAAAGAATCTTATCAACTCTCAGGACTCAGCATGACGAGGCATTTATGATTTTCAAATCGCAAAGCCTGTTATGGTTTATGAAATTATCTACCAAGTAATATTTGAACCATTAGAAAAAGATGAAAACATGTTCCCGGTTGTTGAAAAGGGATATCAAGCGACTGTCAATGTGATATCAACCAAATATGAGGCATAAAAGCATATGGAGAACCTCACTTGAACTACCAACTCACTTTTGTATCAACACTAGAATAGAGTGGAGAGTGCTGGTCGAAAATAATTATTTGAGCTTTGACAAAACTGCCTAATGCATCTGTAACTCCCTCCTGACCAGCTTCCATACGAGTAGCATCACGCGGTAGGACACCAGCAACACGCGTAAAACTAGGTGCTTTTGAATCGTTGTTTTCTGATTGTGTAATACTTCCAGAACTCATAGCCTTCATTTCATCATCTGGTGACATGGGGCTACCAGCTAAATCACTAAGATCCTCAGGCGCCTCGTAAAACTCATCATCTCCTTCAGACTGGTTGAAATCACTACTTTCATGTGTTATACTAACAGAATTCTCCAATAGAGAAGGGGCTGCGACGTTCGTGATGAAAGATCTTGCAATATAGAGCTGAGATGTTCCCTTGCGGCAAACTAAATCTTCTACCTCCAATGCTTTAAGGACTGTGCCAATGAAGATATCATTCTCTCTAATTGAAAGCTCCACCTGCAGCAGATTGATTTGAACAAGTTAGCCATAAGTGTAAACATGTGAAAGCTGGTAAATGGGCATAGATAGAACTCATCCTCTCAAAGGAAGTGGGTGTCCAACGCACACTTATACACAATAACAGCCCAGTAACTAATGGATGTGGGAAAGACAAAACTTCTAACAGCCCTCACGGGCAGCATGCCAATCCATATATATCAGGTCCAAGTCCAACATCACCTCCAAACTAACAAAATTGGGTATTCTTGTACCATGATAAATGGGCCTAGCCCAAGAGCTACCTCAAAGGGAAAGGGTGCCCAACACACAATTATACACAACCACCCCCAAGTAACTAGTTGGTGTGGGAAAGCATACTTCTAACAAAAGTCAATTTCAAATTAGAGTATTTATCTTACGTGTCCACCAATTGCTCGAAACTCAAGCAAACGCTTCTCATCAGCAAGAAGCATCTTCATAAAACTTTGATCGCGCTGCAAAAGTATAAGCAGGCATTCATGTCAGAAAATTAGTGGCTACATATCCAATCCAATATACCATAAGGTCTGAGAAAAATCTTACCATGCTCGAGTAACTGAAACTTATCTTCAACTCATCAAGCACACCAGTTAAAAATAACTTTTCTGTCATAGGAGAATTTGTTGAATCATGACTGCTAGGTTCAGAGCTTTCTGAATTCGACAAGGTTTCAATTAGACCAGTTAAAGTAGCATTTCCCTGCACAGACATTCAAGACCCTTTGATATGAAACAACTTCACGTGCAAAGTAATGAAACGGAAATTTAACCACCAAAAGGAACTCCTCAAAGGTGTGAAACTGTCAGAGAACAGGAAGTCGTTCAACATCAAGGAAAATCAAATCTCACTCAAATATTGTCTTCTTCAGAACACAAAAATGGTTTATAAATGAGGGTCCGGACATCTTCTCTCAACTATCTCAGCATAGTAGCAACAGTAATAGAAAACTTAAAGCAATTTTGATCATAGTAATATCTTGATTCATTTGTAAAAGTGCAATAAACTCAAAGCGTAGCCAATGCAGAAGAAATGGTATGGATAGAACCCCAGGAATAAGTAATGGGAAAAAATGAGGTGTGTAATTGGGCAACTTGAAACATTAGTTGCACAAATTGGAATGCCAGAATGAGGTGGGCATATAATTGGAATTTCCAACTATATTCCATTCACATGATTGACATTATTTGGTAATGGATAAATCCACAAGAGACAGGAATCCTGTGTACTAAACTTGCGCAGTCATCAATCCTCTGCTCCACTTCTATTTTAGCTATTCACCATTTGTCCTACACTAGTAGTGTTCATTGAAACTATCATTTTGAATAGAACTTTACAATCAACCCATCATCATTTGTAACAAAAAAGTAGAAAATTACTTTTTTATATTTTAAAATTTAGAAACTGAAAAACAGATTTTATTACTGATATGATAGCACATTATTAATCTAATATTAATAATTAAGAAGTAATTTACATATTCTAAGAATTGCCATGAAGTCAAATCCGGTAGGTATTCCACTAAACCATTTACCACAAAACATTTAAAAAATGATTTCACTGTTGGAGAAGATTTTCATGGCACAGGCCCCATCTAATATTTTAAAATGCATCAACACTTATGTTAGTCTTACCAAACTTTTGCTAGTTATCAATGAACATAGAGATCCTTAAAGTGGTGCAGAAACACTGAAGTCACCCGATAAAATGTGGTGATTGAAAAATGTAGACAGAATAAATGTCAAATGATGGACTAGATCAAAATGGCTCAATTAAATTCTAGTGCTTCTTCTATTAGTGAAGTTTCTAGAAAAAAAAATATATCAAACGACGCAGTGCACATTGGTCGCTACGGAAACAGTCTCCTTGTACAATTACAAGGGTAAGGTCTGCGTACAACTGACTCCCCCAGACCCCAACCAGTTGGGAATATACTGGGTATGTTGTTGTTGGGTATGTTGTTGTTGTTGTTGTAATAAATGTCAAATGACTCGCAGACAACAGTAATCTGGAAATATTCAAGGCTAGGCCGGTGGGGAAGGTCTAAAACCTACGGTGTTGGCAGTCGTGAGACATTACCCAATTCGCTAAACAGAGACTACTCAGCTTCATTGGTTAAACTTTATCAGGGTGATAAAATGACGGATGCAGACCTTCATAATTCCAATCTAATCGGGATGTCAAGCTTGGTTAACTTCATGAATGTATATGAATACGGGTTGAAGAAGCTAACACCAACAGCTAGGGGAACTTAGTTATCAAACATAACTTTAAAGCCACTGTTTTATTTTTAGCATCAACCATATAAGGTACATTTGAGGATTGTTAATAATTATCAAAGACACTCAACTCTGATCATTCTTCATGAATGTTTCACAAAGAACGGTTCAGCAGTGGGAGCTGTTATAAGTGATTGAAGAAAAAAAAAAAAAAAAAAAACCTTAGGAAGGTGCATATGTTGGAGCACCAACAAAATTCAGTTCAAAAAGTTCCGAAGAAGTGGATTGGTAGATAAAGGGAATAATTGGACACCACTAGAGTATGTGAACTTGACATCACATGCATATTTTGTTGTAGAATTGCACAATATGCACTCTAATGGTTCATCAGTCTATGGAAGCCATTATATATTCCACTGACTCAAGTATAGTCTATGTACCTTAGGCAAGATTTCAAAGTCTGCAAGTCACAAAATACATATCAATAGCTTAACAGAACAAGCATAGAAATAATAATTAATGCTGCTTAACGTGTGATATGATAAAAGGTTATTACCGATGCTCGATAAATGGAACCCTGAAGGTAGCTTTGCCATGTCCTCAAAGAACTCTCGGAGCCACAGCGCAAAATTACGGAATTTGCATCTTCCACAACCTAGTAAGGATAGTCAAGTCAATTTAAATTTCCACACAACCAAAAACCAAGAAGATATAACAATAATGAAATCATAACTTATAATCAAGGGACAACCTTGACATTGGGACTCTCAGAATCACCAACAGCCAACACATGTTCCACATCTCCAAGTAAATCAGATGGAAGTCGATATAGATGTTTACCACGTAGGCTGGAAATTACAGAACCATGTTAGCACTATAATTCACAGATATGTGAATATTGATGCAGGCGCAGTGCAAAACCGTCAGAAACTGGGCATGCAGAACATGTACTTAGATAGTGGACATCTACAGTATATCATTTCTAAACTATTCCAGAATCTTGGAAGATTAGAGAATATGTCAATTCGTATACAAGTGCGGTTCAAATTTTTTTGTCACACCTTTTAACCGTTGACTTCTTACATTTCTTATAGTTTGAGGCATGAATTGTGATAAAGTTATTTACACTATTGGCATGATTAATATTATGAAATGAAATTTGATAGGGAATAGAATGAGGTTGAAGAATGGGCTGATTATTGGAAATGAATGAAATAAGTTTTTCCACTGATATGTTTGGTATGCTAAAGAAATGAAGCCTGAATAGAATGATATTATCTCTTCATATTGTCAAAAAATGATTTTTATTTTTATGTTAATGTTATTTTCTTATTTATGTTAATAATGATAATATATTTGTTTTAAAAAAGTGTACTATAGTTGCAATAATTTTATTGTATACAATATAAATTAAATAAGTGAACTACTTGTTAATATCTATCAATTAATAAAAATAGAAAACTACATAAACACGTAAAAGCATATATGAATCTATAGTATTATTTATAAGTTAATTCAATTTATGAACAAATATATAATATATATATGTATATATATGAACATAAGATTTTTTCTAAGGAACTATTAATAGATACATTCTTTTATAATTTTCTACTAAATAAATAATTTACATATCTAAGTAAAATATGAATAATAAATAAAAAAATTATTTTTATTTATTTATTTAATATTTATTTTCTAAAATAAATAATTTAACCATGATTTATAATATATATCATATTTATTTCTTTCTTATGGTTAATATTTAGTTTAATTTTTTGAAAAACTAAATCTTAAAGATATGGGAATGGGTAAACCCATGTATTAGCTAAAGAATGGTCATTCCTTTCTAAAATTATACCAATCATAGGATTAGGAATGGATAAGGAAATCATCATTCCATTCTTACGTCATTCCTTCAAACAACCATATCATATATGTTCTCCATATTTAAACCTTTCATCCACACTCATAAAAAAAAAGTTGGGAATCCAATCTCTAGGGCACACTACAATTCAGTTGGAGCACGATATTATATTTATAGTACCTACAGACTTTCAAGGCTGTACAGGAAACAAATAAAACTTCAACCTCCACGGTTCCACCACGCACATTATCTCAAGCGCTCTACATTTTCTTGTTTCCAGTGGATGTTGCATTCTCCTAGTTGTATAAGTGTACAGTTCATTTAGCATGGTTTGCTCCAGGGAAAGCCCTCTAAGTAACCCTATTCTATCAACCACAAGCCATGCAATAGCTTCTATAGTTTTACGTAGCACACAAGCCCCATAAAGTAAAACAAATTAAATTGCCCAATCCCAAACCTGTAGCATTGTTTATAATTTCTTGATTCAGGGTCCTTTAACACATAAAGCAATGGTCCAACTACACAAAAATATCTCCTTTGCCATACTGCATCTCTGCCTCCAACACCCTAAAACAAAAGGATGCAACCAAAAATATGATACTACAAAAAACAGGCAACTAACAGCAAAATCTTATCCATATTAGGTCATTCAGAAACAAATGAAAACAGACAAGTCACCTTCCGTGCCAGCTGATACAGCCAGCCTGAGAAATCAGCTTCATCCCAAGGACGGACAAGATCAGGATGGTCAGCATCATCCCCTTGAAAAATTTTAACAACTTGCATTAAGCGATGATAACAAGATGGAGAAAAATGAATCCCTATGGAAGGTAACCGCATGGCAAGCCTTGTTGACGGGAAAGAGGCAACTGGTGATATAATCTGAAAAGCAAAATTTGTAAAATCTTGACTGTATGACAATAATACACACCTGAATAGAACTCTATTGAACTCAAATTGGAGTGGATAATGATTACCTGCTGAAGCTTTAGAAATACTGCACATCTGTCGATAACTGGTAGGTAGCTGACAAAGGCAGCCTTCAATGAACCATCAGGTCTCTTTAAAGAAGCTTGGTTCCAGCGATAATCACCATCAACCAGGAAAGCCGATACATCTCTCAAAACCAAATCAAATTGCGAATACACATTCATCTCTTCAGGTGTAACATATTCAGCATTATCCTGAACATATTGCTCTGAAGTGAAATACTTTGCAACCAAAAGAATCAAATGAGCAATCTCAAAGCTCTGGAAATCTACCTGAGAACGTATCACTAACTTTCCCAAGTCTATCAGAAGCCTGGTAGGGTGGACACCATCAGGAGAGAAGTCGGTGGGAATAGTTATTTTGGGCGCCGCAATATCCAAGTCCAAGAAAAACCTAGGCCAAACATTAATCTACAATTAGCGCGCATATAAATTAGTGATCGACATTACAAAACACTAACTCATTAAGTAGTTCACTACATATTCTAATCCAAAACTGTACCATTGGGGAACATGACATCTATTTTGGAATTTTACCGGAGTTACACTAGCTTCATTTTTCTAGCCAAACCAGTATCATTGTGGCAGATCTTCAGTCTAGAAGAAACTATTCATTATAGCCAAACATCCATAAGAAACTACCCGTTGTCCCACAATGGCACACTTTATATCACCAACATCAAAAATAGACTGTTTGTTATCATCGAAGTCCTTGTTCTTCCAACTAAATCGACCTGACATATAGTAGGGACAACCATCCTCATACGATATTGACCTGTCCTCAAGACAACCCAAAATCAACAGCAAAATATCTGGTTGAGAACTTGGATTCACCCACACAAGGTCAACCTCAGTTAAAAGACTGAAGACCAAATAATCTGTGTGCGCCTACACACATATCACCAAGAGAGAATATGTGGATTCTGTCTTGCTCTTTACCATGTCACAAGTGGGAAGTTTACCCAAAACCACCAATCAAGTGAATATTTTTAACTTCTATTGGTACTGGACCTTCCTAATAACTTTAAAAAAGAGGACAAGGGATTAGACTTGAATGAGAACGAATCATAGAATGATCTGCATGGAAAAGCATGGAGAACCCAACTTGAATCAAGGAGTGACACCTAGTGCTTCTTCGATTTAAAGGCCTGATATAAATCATAAAATAATAAGAAATAATAAATTACTTCTCTCCATTTTTCCTCCTCATTTTTCTTCTATTTTTCTTCACACTAATCATCTTAAGGCATGGCCTAAGGCTTCTAAAAGGCACATTCATTCAACCCAAGAACACAAAAGTCAACAGCATACATGATACAAACAGTCCAAGACATCATAGCCAACCCTGATCAATCTACAATGAAAGCTAACTTCAAAGTTCAGAATAATGAAAAGTACCTCGCACGCTCCTTCAATGCTCTGTTCACTTGTTTCGTCGCTGTGCGTTTGACTTCATCAATTGTCATCTAAAAATTGTATACATTAAACAAGAAACGCGAGGCAATTACTATAGAAGCCTTTCCAATAAAATAGTGCAGTATACTACGATCGAGGGCAAGTGAGAATTTATTAGCTGGACATTAGCTACTACAGAGAACTTCAAACTGAGCAAAAGGAAGATAAGATGCAACAAAACCATACGAGTCTGGCAATACGCAACATCATTATTGTATACAGATTACAGGGAAAATCTCAGCAAAATTCCAACATGAATTGAAGCTACATAGAACTTAATCGTGAAAAGGTAGAGCGGTCAGTGCATCATGCATATTAAAACTCCAAGAGGTAGTTGCAAACAGATGATATATGTAAAGAACACAAGCTGTTTCTGCAAATTGCAAGTTGAAAGAGGTAAATAAGAAATGAAAATCGAAGCCTTGGGTCTACCTAAGTGCACAAGATAGAAAATAGGTGATGTATGTGTCTCTATTCACACACAAACACACACCGAGTGAGAGACTACCCACCCTAGAGAATGACAATCAATATTAAAGTGAAAGAGATCATTTTAGCTGCAATAAAATGGCCAACAAGAGGCCCTAATGAGGTGTGTGGATACAATGCAGGCACAATGATATGCCCCATATGTTGAAGGAAATGGTAATGGCAGCATCATATGTGATTTGAAAAGGAAATTCAATTAGTTGCTACTGACTCATTTGAATTACAAAAAATTCATGGCCCCTTTATTTGCATAACTCTGACTGAATAACTTTTCTGGCCTTGGGGGGCACAGAAGTTGTGAAAAGTCGGTGTAAGACGGGGTATATGTTTTATTCTCTAAAGATTAACCTCGTATTAGTTTGGTGAGATCAACATATTCAAACTGTCACCCTCCCACCCACTCACCTCACAAACAACCCTTCGAACCCAATGCTTAGTTCCTTAGCACTCAATTGGATTGTTGGAGTTACCAGGTTATTAGCCAGGAGTCTATCTATTTAACCATAGGAAATACTTGTTATCCATAATACAGCAATATTAAATCTGCACAGATCTATCAGTGAAAGAATGGAAAAGGAAATAATGATTATAGCACAACAAGGGCGAGGGACAAACTTGAACTGCAGAAGCCGTTTCCCGGACTAGAGTCTCGCTTACAGTCGCACTACTTTCAAAGAAGTCGATGATTTGGTTAACGGAATCCTTCATATACTGAACAAAGAAAAAAAAATATTCAGATTCATAAATAGATGCAATTTAGAATTTTAGATAAATAACACCACAGCATCTTACAGTCACATAACAGGGTGAAGCTTTAGCAACCAGGCTCCAGTCCACATCCACATCAAGTGGTTTATAGCAGAACGCAGCAACCAATGAATTAGAAACAGTTTCGCTCTGCATAATAAGTTTGTACAAGAGAATGCATAAAAAAATAGCGACGCGGGTGGACAAATAAATAGATAGATTCTAGATATATAGATATACAAAGTGGGGGAGGGGGGCGCCATACCACAGCAAGAAGACCTTTCGGGGACAGTAATCTGTATGATCCCAATTTTATATCGACAATTTTTGCTTCTGGATACAGTTTTATGCAACACTCGAGATTATCGCAGGATAAGTCAGCAAGGCACTCCTGGGAGTCAGTTAGCTTCGATGCATTATGCTTCATGTGAAGGCTCAATGAAATATATGGCAAATTCATATCGCCGTGGGTCAGTAGTTGTTCATCATCACCTTCCTTGTACCCAATAATATCATTCAATCTCTTCCAATCTTCCTCAGTCAGAGTACCAGGTTCATTTTCATCTTTGCTAGTTTGAGTAGTCCTGCAATACAATCACAAATGTATCAGAATTATGTTGCAATCATGAAGAAGTCGTGTGAGCAAATATATGACTGCAAGGTAGAACAGGTCACCATCCAAATGACCACCACGATTTCTTGGCCTTTTGCTCTTTTAGGTATTTTTCTGATCCCAATGATTGCTCCACAACCTTATGGGCCAACATCCTGTTCGAATAAATTAATTTATCAATTAAAAACATTGAGGCACACCACAGAATCTAAATCATTTCTGCAGTAGATCTAGCAATCATGACTGACAAAATGTAACGTTAGCTGAAGAAAGTAAACAACCTACTGTCCACCTTTTCCCATAAAGACATTCTTGTGCATGAAGACAAATAACAACTAAAACAGAGAGGAACATCTATCTAAAGAAAGAAACATCGCTCTCATGAAAAGTGAGTAAGGAAACAAAAGGCCACGTTAATAATTCTAGTCCTTTAAGCACCTGATAGCATAAACTACAGACATCTCATGCCATCAGTGTTGAATTCTAAAAAACATATTGTCGGTGATCCAGCAAATAAGGAAAAGAAAATTGCAAACACATACATAAGCATCATGCCACTTTGAACAAAAGTAATACACCCCCCCAGGTTCCCAAATGGCATACAAAGCACATAACTATTATAGACTCATCTAAAGCATATCAAACCCATAACTAATACAGACATATCGATAACTTTTATACCTCCATTGAAGAATAACATCTATATCAAGTTCCCGGTCAAGTCCTTCTATTTCTTCATTGTCATCAACTACAGCACGGTTAATATCTGATTTGAGCAGCGCAGCATACAGAGAAATGTATCTCTTACGCAATTTAGCATATCGCAGGACTTGCTCCCACGACAACATTCCACTAGCAAGGATAACAACATAAGAGAGATCAATATGGAACAGTTCCCAATAACACTTCTCAAGAAGGGGGAAAGGAGACTTTGTGGCAAACAACACGATTTCAACATACAACATTATTCCATATGACAAGGTTCACTCCAGCACTAACATATATATTTATATAATATAGTCATAAAAGGAAAGGAGAATAAACACCGAAAGAAAAAAATAATTCAGATCAACACTTAAAAGCCAAAACCCAGGAGAAAAGAAAGAAAAAAAGAAGTACTGTAATTGTTAGCATACAGAGACTCATTCAAATAAAACTTATTCACAGACCTCAAAGCCATAATACAAAAGCCAAGATACAAAGTAAATATCAATAAGAAAGGTGAGGCTCCAAAACCAAATATCACCTAAATATGAAGCAAATATTTTCATGACCATACAAACATTTACTGATGTTTATGCGATCCCCTTTGATCCACAAATGGAAATTACATCATCTTGTGAGATCCATCCAACCTTCTTATAGACTCGTTGTTCATGTTGTTTTTCTAGCTGCCCAATTTTGCCAAATCTAGAGATCTCCTGGTTTTGGATTTTCTTCTTGATCTTTTCTTTTGACTCAATATTTCATCTAGAATGATGGGGTCAGAACAGATTTGGTTGAAGTATTGGCCAATATCTATCTATCTCTTAGTGTCAACATTATAACATGCCACAATCGGAAAGCCTAACCACACAAGCAAACTATTCACACGTTTAGTCAAAAATATGTACAAAGAAATGACTAGGTAGGAACCTGGCCTTCTTCTTTTTATCCATAACTGCCCTAAAAGCATACTTCCACCATGATCTCGGATCACTTTTTACAGTCAAACGTGGACGATAGTGAGCATAATATAGTCTCTGATTGAAGGCAGTGAAATTATCAGCTAATTTCAACAAGTCGTGATACCCAGCCTACAGATTAAACACAAAATATGTGGTAAGGCGATTACAATGAATAACAAGGCAAGGCAGACATGGAGAAACTAAATAGGAAGCCAATACCAACTTTTGACAAGCACACAGTCACATCATCCAGATTTACTGCAGCATTCTGCAGTGGTTGACCTTTTCTTCTTGATGCATCAGAACGCTCCTTTGAATACTTAGCATTTCCACTTACTGGTTCCAAAACATATGAGTGTTTTCCCAAATTATCAGCTGCAGGTTTCCCACCTTTTGTACCAAATTCAAAAATCTAGAACCCATACATTAGCTTAATGGTTTTTAGTTAATATAAGCAACTAATGTTAAACAAAAAGCTCAAATACCTGTCCCCATTCGGACGGTGACAAGTCCTCCCACGGTTTTTCAATGTGCCACGGACTTACATCAGAATCCAGATAGATAGCCATTCGTTCAAGTTGCACAGACTAGAAAATGTCATAGAAACAAAATGTAAAACTTCAATGGACTAGATAAGAGAAACAAGTGCGCAGCAGCTCATTAATGTTTTCGTCAAGCTATCAACTAAGAAAAGGTTGGTATTAACAGACAGACAACAGTACCACTCTGGCCTATCATTGACAACCAATGGAACAATCTATCTCGTGGAAGAATAAGAGAGGACAAACCCCATCGGATACCACATCATCATCATGATCAAGAAAGTTTAATACAAAACTTTGTAAATATTAATACAAGTATGTACATCATCCATAGCACATTAACAGAAATGTAGCAAGACTAGTAAGGCAAAAAAAAAATCTTGAAAGCCAAACCATCCAGGTCTACTTGAATATAAAATGCTTTTCAAAATTTTTGTTGACAAGGACAAACCCAGGTAAACCATTTTGTTATGAATGGCTGCAAAAATTATGGATTGGGGTGAAAGTCATAGTGCCACCAAAAATTTTTACGTCGATGAACCCATAATGTCAGCATAGATTTTAGTCTGGACCAAATATCAAGGCCAAACTCGTCATTATAATAAAATATTGTCATATTCTATTCCATCCAGATCAACCAACATACAATAAGATGACATTCTACGGAATGTCTTGCCCTTGCAAGTTGCAGCACAGATAGCACACATGTAATGGAAAATAGCCTGGAACAGCAACCTGGATGGATCAAAACAAGGCCAAGCACAAATAGAACACAGTATGTGCATGTATGTGCTAATGCAAAATTAGTGACTCAGGGTCTCCATGCTGGACCAAGATAGTTTCTTGGAACAATACTGACATACAATAACTCATCTATTTGTCACTGTTGTAGGTGTAGTCTCTAGGAAAACATTGACTTGGCATACAACCGACTAGATATGAACTTAATCTTGAAAAAGGCGTTCAGATAATACACACACAGAAAACCAGCTCATCAGATTTCAGGTAAGACGTCAAGAATCATAAATTTATAAAGAAACAGTTTAACAGCAAAAGCCCAAAAAAAAAAGGTGAATAAAACAAGAATTTGAAAGGACACAGAAAAAAAATAGAACAGTTGAAGATGTAAGAAGAATTTGTCCATTGCAAATGGAGCTGGAAGAGTCATTGTTGACAATTCTCCTGGCATAGTGCTAATAATGGACTAGATCAAAATGGCTCAATTAAATTCTAATGCTTCTTCTATTAGTGAAGTTTCTAGAAAAAAAATATATCAAACGACACAATGCACCTTGGGTCGCTACGGAAACAGCCTCCTTGTATAATTACAAGGGTAAGGTCTGCGTACAACTGACCCCCAGCCCCCAGACCCCAACCAGTTGGGAATATACTGGGTATGTTGTTGTTGTTGTTGAAGATGTAAGAAGAAAGAAATGTGAAACAGTAGAACATAAAATCGTAACAATGACCACCATACACAACCATGCGCCAAATACTTCAGGAATACAATACCAAAAAAAAAAGCATCACAAAAATTATACAAGTGTACAAACCTTCTGGATTCGCTCCAATGCACCTCCAGTTATAAAAGTTTCCTCCCCATTATCATCAACTGTAAATGCTGAGAGTTTATCCAACATCACGCCAGCTGCAAATGGGTGGCCTGGATTACTGAAGAAAATGTTGTTTCAAAAGTAACCAATTACAGGATACAGGAGAATGATAAAGGGGAAAGACAACGATCCAGGGATGACAAGGAAATCAAAGCATCCAAAACTTGTGTACCTCTCAATATCTTCGTATCTGATGTGGATGTTAGAAATAGAAAGCTTTAAATTCCCAATCACCGTATTGATTAAAGACCCGATCCAAGACTTGTTCTTCGAGGAAAAGAAAATAAAAGCAACGACAAGGTGGTTACATCATGATCGTATTATAAAGAAACAAGCTCGAATAACAGTATCTTTGTTTAAAATATGACCGCCATCGGCTCCATGTCAATAACTAAAATTAGCACAACAGTAGATAGCAGACAATATCATATAATACTGACCAGCATTAGCTAAGAATGAGAAGGTATAAACAGAAAATCAAAAACAAAATGATCTAGAAAGCAAAGTGCCCACATGTGATCCCAGAAGAAAAGACCAAAGATAGCTAGACATATCCCTCCCTCCCTCAATCAATAAGGAACATGAGTTGCAGCTTCAGATTCCATGATGCAGTATGTTAGAAGTTATGTTCGTCCACATCAATTAGTAATTGGGTTGTAATTGTGTACAAACATGGGTTGGGAACCGTCTCCCTTTGAGCTAAATTTTGGGTATGAGTCTACCAAGCCCGTTTCTCGTGGTATCAGAGCATCCAGGTTTTGTTTGGTTGGAGGTAATGTTGGGTTTGGACCCGACCCATTTAGTTTTGGCAAGCTGTGTTTGAGGGCCAGTGTTAGAAGTTATGTTTGTCCCACATCAATTAGTCATTAGGGTTGCTATTGTGTATACACGTGGGTTGGTCACTCTACCTTTTAGCTAGCTTTGGGGGATGAGTACAAAAAGTGGAAAAAAAAAAAGCTTCTTACGTTGCAAGTCCCTTTCTGAAAATCAGAAGCTTCGCCATTTAGAAATACAGATAACTTGGGCTAACAATTGGTGGCCTCTTCATCTAACATTTTATATGCATAACAATGAGGACATTATATTCGTTACATTGGTACTGAGTAATAATAAGACATACCATTTCCGAATTCAGGAGCTGTTGGCTCTCCAACAACTTCATTTCCATTTCCTATTCAAAGACAATTATAAATTTTACTATTAAAATAAACTGAGGAAAGGTCAATGAATAATTTAAAGAAAAACCATACTCGTATTCGATTCCTTTTAACTTCTTGAATGGAGTCCTCTGTAGATCCTTCAACCTGTGTTGCAGGCTCAGCCAATAAAAAGATACGATCCAGATAAACCAGAACAGGATCTTGGCCCAGCCTGCTCCATGGAACCTGTTATGAAGGGAAGTAGATGGAAATATATATTAAAAGCAAATTTCACATCATGAATTTAATACATGTAACCCGGAGATCTTTTAGGTTGTTCCATCAAGCCTTGTATCATTAATTCACGGAAAATTGTTGTTTGTTGTCGCCAAAAAAAAATGAAGGAAGATGTTACTCTTGATAAAATTGTTGTTTGTTATCCCAAAAAAAAAAAATATAATAATAATAATAGTAGTAGTAAACGAAGAAAATATCAATTGGCCCGTGATTTCTTTACTATGACATAGCAAATTTTGAAAATAACATTTTTCATCATTCCATAATGCAGGTCATGAGATTCAACTAGATATCAGAATTGTGACTCAGATTCTGCCAAACCTCTTATATTTAATTGCTTTAGTGTATCGCTCATTTTATAGGGTCAAACATGAAGTACATGCACAATCGAATCAACTTCTCGTGATTGGCAATTACCTATCAAGACAAACAAGCGTCTTAAAGAACACTACCACATAACCTCCTTGCTCCCACAGCTATAATTCGCACACACAGCCAATCCAAATGACATTACAAGAAGATGAAGAAGTTCTTGAAGGTATTGATCTAGTACTAATTATAAGGACACCAGTAACCAATATGTGGAAAAAATTGTACAGCACATACGTGGAGTAATTTATATATTAATAAAAATAAAAAAACATGTGGACAAAAAAAAAGAAAAAAAAGGGAGTGGACAACACTAAAAACCACGTATTTAAGGAATACGTTTTCTATACAATTTGTATAGAAAATGTATTCCTTAAATACGTTTTTTCAGATTTTTTTACAAAAGAAAACGTATTCAGTGAATA